GAGAGCGAGAGCGAGAGAGAGAGGGAGAGAGAGAGAGAGAGAGGGAGAGAGGGAGAGAGAGAGAGAGAAACTAATAAAAGAAGGAGAAGGGACATGAATATAGTGGATGATGTAGAGATGGAGACAGACACAGAGAGAGAGAGAGAGAGAGAGAGAGAGAGAGAGAGAGAGAGAGAGAGAGAGAGAGAGACAGACAGAGAGAGAGAGAAGCTGTAACACCTACCAATACGAGATGTCCACACACCATCAGGCTGACTTTCTTGGTGAAACTGGACACTAGATCGACTAGGGCAGGTCGTGACCTGGGGTCACCAGAGAGCACCAAACACTGTGGCCTGAAGATGTAATATTCACATGTAAGATTACAAACGGCAGCAGACCAGTCACACATCTCAAATTAATAAATCATAAATAAATCATAAATTAATTAATAAAAACATAAACAAATGAGTCGACTCGACACACATTTGATATATTGTATTTTGTATTTTGATATTTGATATTTCTATACAAGTTGCATAGCCACGTAATAACGATAGAATATAATCCACCGACAACAATAAGAATATTACAAATCATTTGTACAATACTATTACATAGATTTTATATGAGAAATTTCAATGAAAGACCTAGGCTCAACTAACAACAAGTGCATCACGTAGCATATTGAGTAACGCGCCGGTATCAAAAAAAAGCAAAATTTGCATACAGCATTATTACTTTTGCATCACGGCTGTCAAATCGTGACCGATTACATACCACCCTCCCTGCAAGAATTCACACTCGCCACTCACGTGCTAGTGACAGGCAGCTAGGTTACGTGGTGCGAACGCTCTCAGCACTGCATGTCGCGGCCACAACGTGAAGCCGCAAAGCCGCAAAGACGCAGACGGCAGAGGTTACCTGTAGTTTTTTACATGGTCCTCGACGTTGTTGAGCTTGAGCAGAGCGATGAGGGCACTGCGGTAAACGTTTGCCTGCGTCGACGATCCCCAGTTCACATCTACGCCAACAGGTGGCAACACAACATCGCATTAGCTATGTGAAAACTGCAATTCCACATGGTGAACCACTTACAACGTGCTATGTAATGCCACCAGGTGGCAACACAACATCGCGTTAGCTATTTGAAAACAACAACTCTACTCGCTGAACCACTTACAGAACGCAAACGTAACTGATGTGAACACTTCTGAATGGCAGGTATAGTTACGACATTAAAAGCCAGCGGAGAAACTAACGCTGGAGGTAAACATTAATCTAACTTATCCATTCCGATCTATTATCTATTATTATCTATTCCGACCAATATCCACCCACTGACGTAGTGTTTGACCTTTGGCATATATTATAACAAGGTGACGTGCTTTACAGGTGCTCTGAACTTATTAATGTTGTAACTGTGCAGGAGTGGGGGGGGGGACCGTACCTGACTCGTTGTTCTGTGTGTAGATGTAGAATACTCTGATCATGTACAGATAACTTATTACTAATTACCGGTGACCAGATTTATCTTGCTACATTGTATGTAGATGTAGAATACTGTGATCATCTACAGCTAACTTATTACTAATTACCGGTGACCATATTTATCTTGCTACATTGTATGTAGATGTAGAATACTGTGATCATCTACAGCTAACTTATTACTAATTACCGGTGACCATATTTATCTTGCTACATTGTATGTAGATGTAGAATACTGTGATCATTTACAGGCAACTAATCATTAATTATAGGTAGTCATACCTGGTTTGCTGCACTGTATATATCAAGAGTACATAATAGAGATTATTATTATCTCTATTATGTAC